AAAATAGTTGATGAATATAAAATATCACTTGAAAATTCTTTGTTAAGACTATTTAATATTCAAGCATTACATTATCGAATAATAATCCTTTGAATCATAATCGATAATAATTGACCTTTCACCAGTTTCTATCGTTTGTTTTATTTCTTTTTGTTCCCCACTATCCGGATCGGTCATTGTAATTGTTTTTGTTATAGTATCAGCTTTATCTTTAACTTCAATCTTTTTTCCATCAGGATTTTAAACCAAAATTCCAAAAATTCGATATTGTCAATCTGTTCATATTTTAATCTATCAATTACATTTTTAATACCATCTGAAAATCTTATGAAATGGTCATTATATGGGTTTGATTGAACTAAATTTGAATGAAGTGAAATATAACCTGTTGATGAATATGACACTGACTCATATTTTCTGAAAACACTAAAATTTATAACATGAATGAATTTCTTATTCGTTGAATTTATGAATTCTTGAGGTAATCTTATTCTAGTTTTATTTATCACTGGAAAATAACGCTTTACCATATTTTTTAATCGTAATAAAAATGTCAATTATCAATATTATTTCGAATAATAACTGTGAATTAAATTTAACAGTTAGCGGAACTTTATGTTACTCTCGTTTCTGTGAGTGGTAAATTTATCCCATTCTTTTAGACCCTTCAGATTATATATCATTTATTAAAGATGACTTGAAAAAACGTAGATATGTATATAAATAATGTGATAACGAAATGGGATATTAACATGATTTTAAGTTATTTAAATGAATCATTTATCGATGGTATGAAGAAAATTTTAAATCAAACCCGATAAACTTTTTGAACTTGATGAAATAAATAACCTTATTAAATTTCCGCTGAAAATTAATTTGTACTCCTCATCTTCGTTCATTGTTGGGGATATTAAATTTTGAAAAAGATGTTGGGGATGTTTTGTATTCTGACACTGGTTCCAATTTCATTTTAATCAAATGTGATAAAGTTAATACCCCAATGAGATTTTCACATCAAACATTAGACCCTAACTCTTACCCATCAATACAAAACATTTTATCCATCAACTTAAACACATTTTCTTTATCATATCCGTTTCAATTATCCGGGAATTCATTTATTCTTCATTCAAAAGATTTATCAAATATTAAATTTAGAAATAACTGACCTATTTGATTGTGATTTAGAATTTATGAATGAAATATTATGGCAATTTCAAATAGAAAAATAGGTGATGAGATAACGGATTAAATATTTATTTTTAAATCATAATAAATGATTAAACAACAGCAACCACAACAACTTAAGGCGCAAAGACCCAGGTCCTTCAGACCATTACATACGCCATATATGCATATAATTCAAAGACGGCAGAACAAACGCAAAGGTTGAAATATGGAGATTTGGAGATAGTATTGAAAAATGAACATTTCGAATTCGTTTGCAAGGTGGTGCAGTGATATCAAATATAAAAGAAATTTTATTTATGAATTCAAAATTAAAGGTATAACGATGATATAACATCAATTCCACCAGAAGAACAGAGATATTACGCATTAAATGCATTTCCTAAAGTTTTGAAGATTGGAAGATTTAATTTAAATGAGGAATTCATAGAAGGTTTCCTAAACGACATAATGAGAAGGTGGATAAGGAATATGTGGATAGTGAATTAAATAAGAAGGAAATTTGGTTTATGTTGATGAAAAAGATAATGAAATTAAAGAAAAGGTTGAATGGTATCATGAATGGACATCGGAGACTTTTAAAGTTAAAGCTGATACAGGAATGGGTTTCAGGATGTTTAGACCTTAAAGCAGATAAGAACCATACACAAACTTCTCAACTGTTGCTATAGAAAGTATTGAAGGAACGGTTGACGGAACTGATGGGATGCATTATATTATAATCCTCCTAACTTTCCACAAGGTTTAACATCGAATGAAAACATAACAACGATGAAAAAAATTAAATGTAAAAATGTTTATGTCATGGATGATGAAAATAAAGTTAAATTCACTGCTCAAGATTTATATGATAAGAAAGCAGACAAAACAGAGCTTCAAACATTAAAGACTGAAATACTTCAAACATTATATCCTGTTGGTTCTATTTATACGTCAATGAATTCAACAAATCCATCAACAGTTTTAGGTTTTGGTATGTGGAAGCAGATTGTAGATAAATTCTTATACTGTGCTAGATATTCAAAGCAAACAGGAGGTTCGAAGAAAATTAAAGAAGCAAACCTTCCACCGCACACTCATACAGGAAACAACACAACAGGTAATCATTCACATTCAATAACAAAAAGAGGTTATATAAATCTTGCAGCGGGTTCGGATAGATGGGGAATGAATAGATATGATATCACAAACTGACCCAGTAGATTCAAGCACAGGTATTTTTCTGTGGAACCTAGGAAATCATTCACACACTTTCACAACAAATCCAACAGGCTCGGGTAAAGATTACATGCCACATTTGTGACTGTATTCGCATGGTACCGTGTTCATAAACACACTTGACCCAGACTTTTGGGTCAAGGCTTACCGAATGAACTAAATATATTTTATGTCTGTAATTAATTAGGTAATGAAGTAATGGATGAACTGCAGAAATAAATGTTTACGTTAATGTTTACGTTAATGTTTTTGGGTTATTCAATAATTAATTATTTTTGAAGAACTGAAGGTGTCACCAGGTCACCATGTGTCACTCGGTTAATTAACTTCTCTGAAAAAATGAGACAACATGACATTTTGACAACAGTCGGGGAAATAAATGTTTACGTTAATGTTTACGTTAATGTTTTTAGGTTATTCAATAATTAATTATTTTTGAAGAACTGAAGGTGTCACCAGGTCACCATGTGTCACTCGGTTAATTAACTTCTCTGAAAAAATGAGACAACATGACATTTTGACAACAGTCGGGGAAATATGATGCAGCCCAAAAATAAAGTTAGTTTTAAAATTATTTTTATTTTTTTATTCCTATATAAATGACAGCAACAAACAACAGCAGCAACTTTATCGTTTCTGATGAAAAAGTTATTGATTCATTAGCTGAGGAATTAGTTGTGGCAGAAACTAAAACCCTCAACGAAAGAATTGGTGAAAACAAGATTGATTTGCATAACTACCTCAAACACGATGGAGGAAGAGGAAGGAAAACTGGTACAGCTTTATTAGTAAATAAAATTTCAAATTTAACGATTATAGATGTTGATATCAATAAATCGTACAATGATGAACTTAAAGAAACAGTTAGAAAAGATATTTTATCAAAACTTTCGGATAAAGATGTTATCGTTAAAACCGCTTCAGGAGGTCTTCACATTTATTGCAACACTAATTTCTTCTATTCAACCTCGAACAGAATGATTAAATGTTATTCCTGCAATGATTATGATATTGATATCATGACTTCTATGGATGAATCAAAACGTTCATTAGTGGTTATGGCTGATTCAAGAGTTCGCAAGAATGCATCAGAACCAATCAATACATACTCATTCATTCGCGGAAGTTATGATTCAACATTAACTAGAACAGTGAATGATATATTAAATGATTTGAATATTAAGGTAAGAGTTGAACAGAAGAGCGAAGAAATAAAGACTATCATGAATGAAAACAAAGATGTAAACATTGACGATAAACTAGCTCAAAGCATAGTTGATGGCATCAGTGATTTTGAAGTACATAATGACGGTGGAAACATGAATTTAGAAAAAGAAATAACATTGTTCACACTGTTTCAAGCTATTAATTCGTTACCTAATCATTTAATTAATGAAGCATACGATAACGTTTATAAACTTCTGCAGTTTAACAGAAAATGCAAAAAGTAATTTTGAAAAAGCACGTAGTAGATATGCACATTTAATGACTTCTCCATTTGTTTTAGTGAAGATTCTAAAACTATATCAAAAGGAATATTATGATGAATACGTTTTGCCTTTATTACGTAAGCCAAAAATAACATTTGATATCAAACTTGATGACTCGTTTTTGATAACAGATATTAGACGCAAGGCTGAAAATCATCAGTATAAAAACAGTTCTGAAGTAATTGAGGATTTATCACGTGTAATCCGTTTTGTAGATTGTGGAAAAAATATTTCATTCAAAAGGACTATAATATCCACGATAAAATGAATCAAATATCATTCGTTCTTCAATCAAACATGAAAGAGTCACTTAAAATGATTAAATTATTTAAAGAAGAAGGTAAAACAATAACAGCATGGGACGTACTACTAAATCAATTGTCTTCATTAACTGTTAAGGGTGTTTGCTTTAAATCTGATTCCCCAGATGTTTTCTCAACGTTTCAGGGTTATAAATACAACATTCTCGAAAAGCCTGATTACTCAAAAATTGAGATGTTTATGGATTTCATTAAAAGAAGCCATTTGTGATAATAATGATGAAGTGTATAAATACCTACTCGGCTGGATTGCATCAATGATTCAACATCCTGGAATCAAGAATGAAAAGCAATTATTTTGAAAGGACTTCAGGGAACAGGTAAAAACAGATTTACAGACATTATTTCTGAACTCCTCGCTGGTTATTCATGTAAAAACATTACTGAAATAAGTGAGCTAACGGGTAATTTCAATTCGGTTGTTGAAAATAAAATGTTTCTTGTACTTAATGAACTCAAGAATGTAGGTGAAGATAGACTCGCAAACTTCAACGCTTTGAAATCAATTATTACGGATAATGAGATTAGAATTAATGAAAAGAATCAACCCAGAAGAACTGCTCAGAATGTTGCAAACTTCATTTTCGTAACTAATAACGTTTACCCTGTCAAAATTGAAGTTGGAGACAGAAGATACGTAGTTTTAAGAGTTAATGGTAAATTCAAGGGTCAATTTGATTACTTCAAGAATTTGATGAATTCATGCACAAAGGAATTTTATGATAATTTACTAACATATTTTATGCAATATGACCTTTCATCATTTAATGTACGAATCATACCGATGACTGAAGCCAAACAAGATTTAATTGAATTATCAACAAATCCTTTAGCTGTATGGATAAATACACATTATGATGAATTGAGTGCAGGTATGACGTGTGAAAATGCTCTATTCTGCAAACCATCAGACATGAAAGACAAGAATTTCCAAATGAGCATTAAGGATAAATGTGATAAGAAACAGAGAAGAATAGATGGTAAACAAACATGGTGTTATGTTTTGAAAGAAGAAATGAAAGGATTATATAAACAGGTTGAACCAAACGATAATGAGGATTCATTTACTGACGATGAAATACCTGTAAATGATGCTTTATAAAGTATGATTGGAATTTATTTTTGCCTTCCTCCTGTGTTGTTGTCTAAATGTCATGTTGTCTCATTTTTTCAGAGAAGTTAATTAACCGAGTGACACATGGTGACATAGTGACACCTTCAGTTCTTCAAAAATAATTAATTATTGAATAACCTGAAACCATTAACGATAAAATATATTTTAGGTGAAGTGGTGAGATCTCACCTGTTTTCTCACCTCATTTCTACCCTCAAGATTTACAAACGGAATCTCTTCTCTCGGTTTTCCGAGGGAAGCAATCATATGAGGAAATTCTTCTAAAATTTCTTTTGTCTGTTGGTTTTCAAACCAATGATATGCTTGCTTTGTAGAACGAAGAGCATTCATTATACTTTGCATTTGGTACACGTCATCTTTGACCGAACGAATGAGACGTAACTGTTTGTTTATACTGTATGTACTCGTATTCTTCATTTATGGCTTCATGAACGATAGCAGTTGTTGTGTTCTCTGTTGTTGACATATCTGTCATTTCATACAAAATAAAAATAATTTTAAAACTAACTTTATTTTTTCTGACTTTCACAAAAGACCAAAAATAAACGCTTTACATGTATTTTTCAGCAACTTCGTCAAATAATTTTATAGCTTTATCTATCTCATCTACTTCAAACGTTTCTTTACCTTTCATGGGAGCACCATACCTTTTCTCAAACTTTTCAAGTAGTTCTGTTTCAGCAGCTCTCATATCATTAACGAACACAACCTTGACTCTATTGACTGTACTGTCATATCTTTGAGTTATATTATATGTTCTTCCTATCTTATATCTCTTTGTATTGAAGTCCTTCGGTTTCTGAACGATGTAAAGTAAGCCTTCACTGCAACGTTCTGAGTCGAATGAACCATATGTTATGAAGTTATATCCAACAACTGGGTCTAACCATAACAAAACTATTGGTATAAGACTTTTGTCAATGAGATATGCTCTTGTTCCATGAAATGCTACTGATATCATAAGCTCAGGATTTCTTGTCAAAATTTTCTGAGTTGAAGCATTTCTAACCCAGTCGCTTGTTTTCTTTTCAGATGGAGATATAATGTCTGACAAAGAATATTTGTTGTATTTCTTTGAGTATCTTACGTTTAAATCACCTATTCTAACCACTTTGGTGTCATTGTCAATCTTTCTAACTGTTTCAAACTCAATGTTTGTCATTACTGTTCTTACATACAAGATAAAAAATTAGGTGAAATCTCACCTCTTCACCTAAAATATATTTTTGTCTGATTTACACTCATTACGATGAAATCATGACAAAACATTAACGTAAACATTTATTTCCTGCTGTGTTGTCAAAATGTCATGTTGTCTCATTTTTTAAAAGAAGTTAAATGACCTGGTAGCACATGGTAACATGGTAGCACCTTCAGTTCTTCAAAAATAATTAATTATTGAATAACCTGAAACCATTAACGTAAACATTATTTTTGGTCGTTTATGACAAAATTTTATTTTTATATAAATGGATACCCCACAAGCTCAAAATTTACCACGAATCATAACAAGGGAGGAAATGATAAAAATGATGCAAGAACATGTTAAAAATAACAAACCACTAAAATTGAGAAAATGTGGTTATGCAGTAATGATGGAAAGAGAGATGTTGTCGAAGAGGAATAAAAATTAAATTTGGATTGAGTTTAAAAATTCATCTTTATTAAATTCATCTCTTCCAATCAATTTATTTATTCTATTAAATTCTTTTATTTTTGCTTCACTCAGTTTAAGGATTGAACGGTAAGTTTCTAATTTTTCGATTATTTCTTCATCGTTTTCAGTTCCATTAGTTTTATGGGCATCAACCCCACCGCATTGTGGCTTCTTTTTGTAATAGCATATTTTTGATTTAATTCTGTTTAGTTTCTTTTTATATTCATCGTCTGGACTCTTGACTGCTTTGTTGTCACTCATTTCTTACGAAATAAAAAAAATTAAATATTATTTAAATATAATGGAGTAATAAAATAAATCGGAATTTCTATTAATTTATTGTCAACTTCAACTAATGCATTGCCGTTAATATATCTAACAAATTCAGCTATTGTGTCAAATCTTCGTCTTCTTTTTGTCATTGATTTATCAGTTTTTCCATAATCGAGATGAATCAAAACTTTATCCCCTTGTTTAAAATTCATGAGCCCCGAATTAATTTGTTCACGTTTAACATCATTCAACCTTTCCATTTGCTTTCTAATATACTCCCATTCTTTTGAAATATCATTTTTCATTTCCACTGGTTTCATGTTTATAGTTCTATGCCATGTATTATTGTAATAATATACTAACTGTTGTATGATGGAGTCATGATTTCCATCCCAGTATATCTGACCGTTAACCCCTAACGCATCTCTAAGAGTTCTCATTACCGCATCAACTATTTTATTATGAAACGTATATGGAGAGGATGAAAAGAAAAAATTAATTTGTGGGAAATAATGAGTCATAGTTGCCTGAAATCCTTTATCACCATCACCCCTGATATTATCTACTCTTTCATGATCTAGTAAGTATTGAATAGCTCTTCTTGTTTCCTGTTCTGTTTTCCCTTTCACTGGAATGCAATATAAATATCTAGTGTTAATGTTAATGGCAAATAAATAAGTAACTTTTCCTTTTGAATATTCTAAATGATCTATTTCGTATGAATATGGATATGGAGCAAATGAAGGGCGACTAAATTTTTCCTTTAACGGTTGAATTTTCGGGTCAATTGGTTTATTTAATATCTTGAAACCCTTTTTAAAATCTTTTTGTTTCTTTAATGTTTGAAATGGATATAATAAAGTGAATGATGAAGGATTAACTGAAGGAGGAGGAGGTACTGTCGTTGGAGGTTTTGGTATTGCAAGTGGTTTAATTTTATCTGCTTTGATTTTGGATTTCATTCCTTCCTTCATTAATTCTGGATGTATTCTATTCATTTGTTTTAAATATGCTGTATATAAAGGTTTGATATACTTTCCCGCTTCGAGTTTATGTTGAAGGATGAATTCCAAAAGTTGATCTTCATTTAAAAGTCGGGCTGAATATGGTTTAACTAATGAATCATAAATTAAAGCTTGTGCATCATTTATGGTCTGAAGGACCTGGGTGTTTTGCACCATTTGTTTTTGTTCCTTTGGCTGTTGAACATTTGCTACTTTAGACCTCGGCTTTGGCTTTTGCGGCTCAGGATTATATAATTTATATAATTCATCAATATCTTCTTCTGTTAATACTTTATTTTTGAAATCTTTCAACTGTTTAAGTTGTGATTTAGTTTTTTCCTTTGTATATTCATTATTTTTAATTTTGTCTTTAATTTTAGAAATTATTTTATCATGATATTTCAAAACTTCATTTGTATAATACGGATAATAATAATCCATATCATCACCCGTTATATTGTTATCATATTTTTGGAGATATGATTTTAATTCATAATAATTAAGAAAATTTTGATTAAGTACTAAATCATCAATTAAAATTTTTAAATCTGTGTTATCCATTTATATAAAAATAAAATAAATGTTTAAGGGTGCCCACCTCTTTGAATCATAGTATCAAAACCATCATTAACGGTTCCTTTTGTCTCTTCTGTGGCATTTCATTAAAAATAAACTTTAAATTGTATTAAATAAATGGCATACAACATCCATTTTCACAACATACGGCCTTAGTGTGTGCTCCTGTTAATGCAGTCTTACCGATTGTTAAGCGAGTCATTGACCTGTTTTTAAGTTGTAAATTAATATTCTGACCATCAAATATCACTTTATCATTTATTATATCCAAATATTTTTTAGGTGTTAATTGCTTATTTTGTCTTAAACTAACACCTTTCATTTTTTGTGCAATCTTTTTAAAATCACCCCCATCAATTGAACCGTTGAATGATGTATAACACTTAGGACATAAAGCAACCATGTTATCACCTTGTTTCTCAATTGCTAAACCCAATAATTTTTTCTCATGTGCTTTTTCTTCAGCTTTATTATTTAATTTAGGTTTAAATTTCTCATCAAAACAGAAGAAATCAAAAGGTGCGAATTTGAAAATGTTTTTATCATAAAATTGTTTATCGGTAACAATTGCTTGAAATGCTTGAGTGTTAGGAAGATTTGGGTCGCCAGCGATTGCCCAATAAGATGAATCGGTATCACCTTCAATGAAATGAAAACGATTAACATTCATGCATTTATACATAAAATCATAAATGAAAACTAAATACTAGTATTTAGCATTATCTAAAGTGAAGAATGCCTCTTGTAAACATGTATCACATCTATAAAATCTATCTTTGAGCATCACTTGATACGTATCTTCACCTATTTCTCTTATGTTTTTAAACTTATTTGACATACATGCAACGCGTGCCTTCTGTGCATTCATTATTTTAGTCTTTGCGTAATTTTGTGTATTCATTGCATCGTAACCATATGATCCATTAAGCGAAATCTTGCAAAATAAACTTTTTCCTTTATTTCCTTCTAATTCAGCCTTTTGTCTTTCGTTCATAAATTTGTTCGCAAATTCATTAAAACAAGTGTTTTTCGTAAATGTTAAAATTGATTGAATATCATCGATGATAAAATGAAATCTGTCTATTAGATACCAAAGATAATAAGAAGAAAATGGTTGATATTGGTTGTGTGTTGATGCTAACTGAGTTAATTTTCTCTGTTTCTGGTCAACCGGTAGATTGTTTGATTTCATGTAATTATACATAAAACTACCAATTGTTTTTTCATCTGTGATAATATCTAAGTTTCTTATTATCGGTAAAAAGTTTATGTAATCATTAATGTATTTTTCATCAATGTGACCCTTTACTTCAGCCACGAATAAAGTATTTTTCTTCTTAATTATTCCCAGTGCTTTTGCTTTCTTTGTTGCTGTATCACAAATGATAACACCTTTCAATCTTCCCGGCATATACATTTTATGGTCAGTATATGAAATCATGAGGATTAGATGAAAATGATGAAGGATATAATGAATTAAAGTCAACTCCAACGAAATGAGTCATAATGTTGGTGGTGTCCTCATTTGATACAGTTTTAGTTTCTGGATTATATGAAAGTTTATTAATGTGCGTGATTCCTTTAAGATTTACTCTATGTTGAACATTTGATAAACCACCAGTAATTCCATTACGGAGAATGTGATAAGCTTCAACTGAATCTAAAGTCATTGGTAAATTATTTTTTAATGCATAATTTCTTAAATTGATTCTTAAACGTTGAACATCTTCATCTTTATTTGATTTTACGACATTGCAATAACAACACATTAACTGACAATTTTCTTTGGTATGTGGTTTTTCATTATCGATTCTATCCAATGTTGGTTTATTTGCATATGTAAACGCTTTACCACACATTTTGCATTTAGATGAAAGGATTAAATCGTGATAGTATTGAAAATCATCCATTGAAACATTATTTTTAGTATCCCTTTCTGCTTTTTCATCTTGTTTCTTATATGATTCAATTTTATATTTCCAATACTTTTTCGTTAATTCAAAACTTGATTCTATCTCTTCCTCAGGATATTTTTCATTAGGATTAAAGTCTTTATATGCTAAAGCGTAACGAATCATTGAAGCATTCGATGATAAAGAAAGATTATGAAGCATATCAATTTTATAAACAAATGTTTCTTCAATAATTTTATCAATTGGGTCAATCATAATTTCAACATCTTTATTGCAATAATGAATAAAATATTCTAATCTATTCTTAAAATTTTTAGCATCATTGAGATATATTTGATAATCACTATCTGATATAGTTTCTTGAGTTAATGCTGAATAAAATGAATCTTTCGTGAATGGTTCCACTTTATATAATTCTTCTTCGTAATTTTCCCATGTGATGAATTGATAAGGGAAAAAGGATTTAACACGTGATTTATTGTTTCCGAAATCTTGAGTGAATTGGTCTAATGTCCCACCCGCTATATAATTTCTGATGTCAATAAATCTCAATTCATATGGAACGTTTGTTTTCTTTACAATGATTTGCTTAAATTGTGAAGATGAACCCAGCATTGATTTTATTTTCCATTTTGCAGTGTTTAAATCACGAAGAATTAAATTTAAATCAAACTTTCCCGAATTAAAACCTATGATATTCACTTTATTGAATTCCTCATCTAGAAGTTCTTTAAATGCTTCCTTCTGTTTTTCATTTAATGTATGAGACAAAGTCCCCGCCGTTTGGTCCGTTTGCGACTTCATTAATTCTTCATATTGTTCAATATTTGATTTAGCAACTAATGAACAGGTTGAAAATAAAAACTCAATCCAATCAGAAATAAAAGAATCACTCGAAGTTAAGCAAAAATTCCTCGTATATGTTTTATCATTTAATTTAACCGTTGATGATACCATGAATGGTTTTAAGTAAGCATTCAAAGTTGCACACTCAGAAAGTTGTAATTCTTCTTTAGTCTCTAATGTTTCAAAGTCAAAAGTAATATAATATCTTGTCGGTTGATAATATTCCTGCAAATTATGAGCTAATAACCACTGATATATCTTCTGTTTCGTAATATGTGGTGCATATGGTTGCTGTGTCTTTTGCAACTGAACGTCTTGAATTAATCTTCCATTATTTTCTTTACATTTCTCACAATGCTTTAAAAATCTTCTTTGGTTTTTCCTTTCTGGATCATCACGGATAGAATAAACTTCTTCTTTACAATATGGACAAACTTATAGCCGGTGAGTGCTTCAACGTCTGTTATTCTGTCAGCGTGAAGTTTTCCACATGGACTCTGTGTTAATAAAATATTTACTGTTTCAAATTCTGGATCTATCATTATTGATTCCACTAATGGAAAGTCTACCTTATTTATGTCCACGTCTTCTGGTTGAGGATCACAATAATAGAAATCAATATTAACATTTAACATTCTCGCTAATCTCTCACTTTCTGATGAAATGTCAAACCCTTCATATGCATCTATTGCTTCATTTAAATAACTTCTACGAGTTTTAGGATTAACACCATCAGGAATGTTATAGAAGCGTTTAAATAACCTTCTACCTTCTGCTCTAATTTGATTATCATTCATTTTAGCTGTTCCGTTTTTGTTCATTTATGTAAGAATAAAAAATAAAAAATAAATAAAAAAAAGTTTATTTTTTAAAGCCCATAAAATGAATTAAGAACACATAAATTTTTATCATCTGCGACGTGACGAATACATTTTAATTTACTCAAGAATGCGTACCCTGATACATTAAATCTAATTCCTGTCTTATTTAATTTCACAACTTTGAAAAGGAATGTATGAATAGCTATAAAATGATGAGAAGATGTTTTATGGGTTGCTTCCATTTTTTCTGAAATAAATGAATAAATATAATGCTTATAGTTTTCATATCTTTTATGTTCTTAATAACGAATGGTATAGACCTTTCAACTTCGTCTTCCTTCGGTGCTGTTCTTTCATATGAAACATTATTGTATCTTCAATAATGAAACCACAATCACACAAAATTTTATATGTTCCAATGGTTTCTTTTGATATTTTATCTAATAAATCAAAAACTTTATCAACACCTGTGCATTTATTTAAATAATAATTTGTGTAAATATCATGATCTTCTTTCTTAATCGTATTAGTTGCATATGTCACGTTTTTAAGAGCTTTTTTGAATTTCTCAGAATCGAGAGGGGTGAAAGTAAGATACAAGGGTATTTTTCATTATCAATAAATTGTAACTTATGTTTACGAATAAATTTAGTACCTTCTTCTGAAAGTGTTTCATCTATTTCGCCATCTAATAAATTTTGTGTTGATTCTGAGACATAATTTTTATATCTTTCTTCATGAGATTTCTGAACTGCTGATTCTGAAGCTGGGATATTCATTAAACCCTCTACTTCATTTTCATTATATTTTTCAACTTCTCTTAATTCCTTAATTTTTTCATCTATTTCATCTCTTATTTTTTCCAGTTTTCAATTTCAATTTCATCGTATTCATCATCTTTAATCCGTTCTTCATAATATTCAGGGAAAACATCAGGTTCTTTAGGTTTTTCTTCTTCAGATGTGGGATATAAGAAATTTATAACATCATCTTTATTCATTTTTCCATCATAATCTAAATCATTTAATAACTCGGCAAATTTTTGACAATTTCTTAAATAATATTTACTAACTTCATAACACATCTCATCTAATATATCCTTTATTTCCTCGTTTGTGAATCCTAATTTTTTAACGTTGTTAGTTTTGACGCTCATTTCATACAAAATAAAAAAATAAAATAATAAACATAACTAAGTTTCTAATTTTTCGTAAGAAGTTTATTTTTTATTCATGAAAATAATTATTTCTAATTTCTTTTACTCTCTCGTACATACTAGATTTGAAGAATTCAGAACTTTTACCATAATCTCCTAAATGTTTTCTTATCCCTAACGTGTGCCAGTTATTATATGAAACTGTATAAACTTTATCTTTATCTTTGCATCTTTCATCACTTCCAATATATTTATATCTCAGTTTTGATTTAGCATTTTCATATTCATTAGCGTTTAATAATTCATAGTCTTCCTTTTTAAATAAATGTTTTATGTATTCAGGATTTAATACTCTACGTTTATATGCTCCTAACTTAGTTCTAAAGGTTTTTCTACAAAATTTAGGAATTCCATCCTCTTTAATGTCATCAATGATTTCCATTTCATTATTTTCAATTTCTTCTTCTCGTTTATGAGGTCTTTGATTATGACTCCATTGATTCCATGAAATTAAATATTCTTTATCATTATATTTATACCTCATTAGCTTATTTTGGCTTTCATATTCATTTAATAATTCACAATCTTCATTTTTAAATTGAAGTTTAACCCATTCAGGATTTAAACAATGTTTAATTAATCGCGGAATATCTGACATCATCTATATATAGCTTCTTTTATAAAAGATAAAAGATAAATTATTTTAAAATTAATGTTAATTTTTTAAAATGTGTTTAGTATATAAATATTTTAATGTATCGTCTATATATAGATGCAACAAAAAAAGTCACACAACCCATCCTATCATACTACTTTCTTCGTAATTAGGTTCGAAATCTAAAAGTGCATTTGTTTGAAGAGTAAATGCCTTTGGATTCCATTTTGAGGCTTCAGATGCAATATCTTCAGAAAGTCCAATGTTCATATAAAAATCTCTTCTTTGTGTAGGAGTCTGTTGAATTTTAGCCCATATATCTGGGGTAGCTCCAGCTTTTTTAAACAGTTTATTAGAAAGAGCTGGGCCACCAGTCAAAATAATTCCTTTCACCAATTCTGGATATTTCATTGTGAAAGCCACAGAAATTGTACCACCAATGGAATGAGTAACAATTACAACTGGCTGTTTAATGTTTAAAGTATCAAGAATTGCTTTGAGATCATCTGCATTTTTCTCCATTGAATAATAGCTTACATCTGTTGGAGCAGATGACATTCCATAACCTCTATTATCATGTGTAATGCACTTGTATTTCTTTGACATGGCCTTGACTTGATTTACCCAAATATCATGAATACCCATGTATCCAGATTGGAAAATAATTGGCTGTCCTTCGCCAGTTGTCTCAAAGTATATTTCAAGACCATCATTTGTCTTTGCCCATGATGATGTATGAGCCACTTTATCTGCAGACATGATAAAAAAATGAAATGACTTATTCAAAATTAAATCCAAATGGTTCTGTAAATTCTAAAATTGGAATTCATAATAAAATTAAGTAATATTATATATTAAATAAGAGAATAAAATCGACCATTCCCAAAATTGATCGTCTCTTATCAAAATCATCTAAAATTGAATGCATCACAAAATTTCAGAGTTCTGCGATATCACTTTTCTTTGGCAGAAATCGGAAAAATTTTTATCATGTAATTATCATTCACACTATTTATAGACTCTTATTTTCATATTTTCAATGACTACAGCTAATAATCCATTGAACTTTTGTGTATATGCTTATGTATTGATGAATATTAATAATAAGATTTTAAATATTTATTCATATAGAACAGATAGATAACAGAACTTTTTCCAAGTTTAGATATGAGTCGGTAGGGGCATTACATCAATCACTCCAATTGCCCGTTATTAGGAATTAAATAAAATTTCCAAATCAAGGTGAATTTGATTCATGGTATCAAAAGTTTTAATCTAAAATACCGGTAACTAAATCAATTAAGTGGAAATCCATAAATATTTCTTTTCATGAATAAGATTGAATTTAATTTCTTAATCTTCTATGCATGCATCCATTAACAGTTGAATGAACTGGTGCAGTTTTTGACCAACATCACTATCAAAATTATATTTTTCAAGAATTGGTTGAAAATCATTAATTTCTAGTGGAAATTGTGGTAAAACTTTGCAAATGTCTTTAACAATTTTAGCTGCTTCAGAAAATGATTCCATTGTATCCTTAGATTCTATCAGTAAGTTTTTAGTTTGTGAATATTTGGCATCATTTTCTTTTTGCGCAATTTTATTTTTAAGTTCGTTCTCTTTGATTGCGAGCTCACGTCTCTTATCAGAGAGAAGTGTAGAATTAGTAATTATAAGATTATCATTTTCTGATCTTTTAATCATTATATTTCGCTTGCATTCGGTAATTTTTCTTGTAAGTTTTCGTTCGTATTTGGACTTTTCCTCTTTAAGACGTTGATTTGCATGAATAGCTTCTTCATACCAATTATAGTATGGATCCTTCCTGTTTTGTTGAGATATTTTGCTGCTAGTTTGTACTTTTTGTACGCTTGTTACTAATTTATTGGGAATTATCGGCTTAGGAATTTCAGATAACGAATCATTTGAAGTATTTGTGGTATTATCGGGTTCATTTGTGATGTTTTTGACTGTTTTCCTTTCATTGGTATTCTTCTTGAATAATTTTGGTTTAGTCGGCTCAATAGATATAAAATTTTGCGAAATTTGTTCTTCTGTCGATTTCTTTTTAGATTCAACGTGAACAATGAAATATGCATCATCAGAATCATCTATTAATTGATATGGATCAGAAGAGATTTCATATGTTTTCTTCATTTTTGTAAAAAAATCTTCTGTTTATCAAAGAAAATTCAAAACGTTCACTTTTGATGGCACTTTTTAATTTCTTTATCAAAAATTTTACAATTTTGTCACTTTTTGATTGTTACTATAAATTTTATGTCTAATTCTTGGACTGAGGCAGACGATAATTTATTGAAACAACTTATCGCAGAGTACCAAAAACAGTGGAGTGTGATAGCTGCACACTTTCCAACAAGAACTCCTTCGCAAGTTGCCAGTAGATGGGAAAAGTATTTAGATCCCAATCTAATTAAAGGCGCTTTCACGGAAGAAGAAGATAATCTTATTCGCCAATTTGTTGCCGTACACGGACCTCGCTGCTGGCAACAAGTTACGGAATTTGTTCCAATGAGATCAGCGAAACAATGCAGAGAACGATGGTTTAATCATCTTGATCCAACAGTTGTCAATAAAGACTGGACTCCGGAAGAAGATCAAGTCATTTTCGAAAGACATCAACAAATTGGTCCAAAATGGGCCCTTATCTCAAGACAACTTCCCGGAAGAACAGACAATGCCATCAAAAATAGATGGAACGCATCGATTTCAAAACGCGTAAAAGTAGACGAAAATGGAGTGGAATATTTAGCTCCAGATACATCTAAGAGGAAGAGAAGAGTTGCCAAGCAACTTCCTTCTAGACCACCTCCAATTCGCACTGTTACACCAGAGATAAATACGGCTCCTCAGCCATTAAGATCATCAACACCTCCTCCACCAACAATTAGAGATGAAGAATTATCTCAATTTGTTGCACCAATGGAAAATACCAGCTTTGTCGACGTTTCTCCACAAGGTTCCTATTTCTTGATGAGTCCTGCAAAAATTTCACCGTATTCATTCAGTCCTAGTGCTGGAATATCCCCTAACTCGCCATTTAGAAACTTCTTTAAGTCTCCAGGTGCCGATGATTTTGTTTATGAACCATTCGATTCTCCTATGTTTCATTAGTGACGTTTTGTAAGTTGATTTAAATGTTTATTCATGATTTTAACTAAATTTTATTTCATCGTATAAATAAATGATATATATATAGTTTAGAAGCATAAATTGATTCATTTTAGAATCAAGTTAACAAAAACTCAATCATCATTAATCGATTTTCAAGATTGAATGTAAGTAATCTATCTGAGTGCATGATTTTTCTTGTTAATCCTTCTCCATAAGATAAGCGCAATCCATATTGCGGAAATAACAAATAAAAATCTTAAGATTTTCGTTAGCATACTCAAATTTGTCATAAAGTTACTTTGCTATTGGATATCTTGAATTTTAGAATGCAAAATCATCTCTAAGCCTTTGAAATTGAGATTATTATTTCAATGAATGATATTTTTGCCGAAAATAGAACGATTGCAGATATGATTATGTAATTTAATCCAACATTTTTTATAATTTCGATTCTTATTTTCGATTTTGAGCCCATTTTATGAGCGAATAAGCATATAATGATATAAGAGACTAATTTGTTAGATAATTTCATTGATCATGCCAACACCCATTTTCATCTAACCGTTATTTTTGAATAGTTGGCAAAAAAATTCAATACCGCAGACCAACTGTAAACTATTCAATCATAATTTACATTGAAAAGTGACACCAAACATATTTCAGTGAATATCTTCCCTCTCAATTTTGATTTTTTGAATCAACTATTCAAATTCATTTCATTTCGATTCATGCAAGCAATGCACGAGCAAGTCTCTGAATACTATGGCAAGACAATCAAGAAGACAGAAGACCTCAAATATGAGGCATGCGTTGTTGGAGGCGAAGAAACAAAGCATCATAAACAGATTCTCGCAAAAGTCTCACCTAAAGTCATTGAATCATTTTACGGATGTGGATCACCAATTCCAGACCCACTCGAAGGAACTACATCAATTGATCTTGGAAGTGGAACAGGTCGTGATTGTTTTGTTATTTCAGCTCTTGCTGGAAAAACAGGCAACGTCATTGGTATTGATATGACACAAGAGCAAATAGATGTTGCAAACGAAGCAATTGCATACCATAAAGAGCATATTCTTGATGCATCTCCAATTGAATTTAGAAAGGGATTCATTGAAGATCTTCGTGCTGCTAATATCCCTGATAACTTTGCAGATGTTGTCGTTTCCAACTGTGTTATTAACTTATCACCACAGAAGAAAGAAGTTTTCAAAGAAATCTACCGTGTTCTCAAAGAAGGTGGAGAATTACATTTCTCAGACGTCTTCTGCGATCGCTCTCTTCCAAAGGCTGCACGTGAAGATAAGGTTCTTGTTGGAGAATGCATCGGAAACGCAATGGACATCAATACATTCATCGCTTACATGATGGGAGTTGGCTTCAAGGATTTCAGAGTTGTTACATCCCGCATTCTAAACTTACCAGAGTTCCCTCCAGAACTTATTGAGCCAGGAACCGTTTTCTGGAGTATTACAATTTCTGCTTTCAAAGGTGTTCAACAACCAGAGTGGAAGCATGACATTGTCATGTACAAGGGTGGCATCCCAGGAAGCCCAGAAACCTACAAGCTCGACGCAAACCATTCTTTCAAGGTTGGAGAAAAAGTCCCAGTTTATTCGAATATCGCTGAGATATTATCCACTAAGAGATACTCACCATTCTTCGAGATCAACAAGGACGAGACACGCGAAGCACCAGCTCCAGTTCCTTCTTTCATGGAAGTTGTCTTTGCAAGCGAAGCATCAAGTGGTAAAGGCTGCTGCTGTGGTGGTGGAAACTGCTGCTAATACATCTTAATCATTTATTATAAACACTTTTATTTTTTAATTTTGATTATTTTATATTTATTCTTTTTTATTATTACCACCTGATTAAATCTGCCATAAAAACATCATGTGATTTCATGTATATATTCAAAAATCAAAGATTATCAAAAATTATCGAAGAATTTGAAAGAATATCACTTAATTCACAAAAAATCACCCAAAAATCATATACTCAGATAAATTACTTACATACAATGTTTAAATGTTTCAAAAATACAAACAAAAATTAGAAAATATAAAATACAACAAAAAAGAGATGCAAATATGCAAGAAATCTGAAAACACTGTTCATGACAATCACATGAGTATCCAGAAATGATCATCAGTTAAAAAATTATTTATGTTTCGAAGCCTTAATGATTAAATCTAAAATTAGTAACTTACTTTGTTCGCATTTCTGAATTCCTTGCTTCAGAGCATCGATTTCTGATTCAAGTTCTTCAATCTGTAGTTGTTGTGTTGTTTTTGTTATTTCTGGAGGGTTGACTGGTAATTCATCAGGATAATTAGTAGCTGCCTTTAGTCTGGCATTTAACAAGTTCTGTTCTCGGATAAGTTCTTTTTCATTCGAACAATAATTTTCAAGTTCTTGTATTTTTTCTTGTAGTTTTGGTATTTCAGCGATATGTTTGTTGTATACTTCGCATTCTTGATTCATAATGTTAGTAGCGTTTTGTTCTGTCTCGAGTTTTTGATTGACTTCTTTTAAAGATGTCTGTGTTTTGCTAATTTTATTCTCAAGAGAATCAATAGATGCTTCTAAACTGGAGAGATCGCTTGTACTGAAATTTTTAAGTAATTTTTTGGAATTTGAATCAATATTTTGAGGATGAACAGTACTAAATAATGTGTATTGGGTTGGTTTTCTAATAAATATTTTCTGCTTTTCTTGTATAAGCTGTTGATCAAGATTAAAGCGTCGTTGAATGTTAGTTTTTGATTGCATTTCAGAATAATCTTGACTAAGTTGAATAATTTTAGGAGAAAATCGTTTGCTTTTGATTTCTAAATAATCTTTCGATAATCTTGCTAGAGATTCTTGACCCATAGTTACATTTTTGATCAAAGGAAGCCTTTGATTCTTCAATCGTGTAATTTCTGAGTCTAATTTCTGATCTTCGAGTGATAGTTGATATAATTGTTTAAGCAATAATTCCCTTTCATTCATTCCAAATTAACAAAAATATTTATGTCAGTTTTTATAGAACTGACAGTTATTAAATAGGAAACGAACTTCATATCATCTTGAAATATCATATAGATTTGACCAAACATTAAACAATATTTGAAATATATGAAAAACCTAAGAAATATTCATTATTTCCGATTCATTAGATAACATCCCTCTTATGCAATCTAAATTAGTCTTCGATTTTTTCCAAAATTTTTTCATCTTTTAATTTTCATATTAGAAATTCTAAGAATTTATTTTCATTTTTTGATTTTTAAAACTTTTTTGGAGAAAAATCAGAAATTTTGAATCAATCAAATAGTTCAATATTAGACATATTTATTGTTTTTCCTATTAAAATTCATTTTTATGAAATTAAGAAAATTTTATTCTAAATTTTAAGGAATTTGCATATAGATGCTGATTGAGTTCTTTTTTTCATCGCATGGGTATCTAGGTTTCTTATAAATCATATTCATTTTTGATGATTCTTTTCTTTTTATCTTTAGCAAGGGCTGATGACTTTTACAGTGGCCACTTATTTGTAGTCACAGCCACTAAAGATAACGCTGAGGAACGCCTCAATGATCTTGCCAAGTCTTGGTTTAAGAGAGTTCCAGAAGTTCATATTTATATTGATGAAATTTCATATCAATTAGCCGACAGATTAACAAAAGAAAACCCTCGATGCAAAATGATATTCCACCAGATGCCTGAATCGTCTCCATTCCTAATTGGTTCTGGATATGATTCACCATTATCACGAAGCCGCATTAGAAACTTATTTGTTCTCAAAGATATATACGAAAAATATAAGAGTAAGAGATGGTTTGTTATTCTTGAAGACCAATCTTATCTAGTTCCTTCAAAATACGCTTATACCTTTAACTGGAAAGATAGCAACAAACCCGAAATTTGGGGCCATTCAACATACTTCTTTGATTCGAATTACAGATTTTTCGATAAAGACCAGACAAGACTTTTTTATGATGTTCATGGCGGTGTAACAATCTCAATTAAGCTTCTTGAAATGATGTACAACAATATCGATACAATTGCGAATATGTACGCATCACCTTTGATCGAAGAAGAGATCAAACTTTCGGCTTTAGCAAGTTATTCTTATTCAGAATTTTACAAAGAGGTTCCATATCATATGTCTTGGATTTTCTGTCCATCGGATATGGAGCAAATCCAAAGAGAAAGACCTAACATTGGTCGCGATGTTATTTCTTTTGCAAATATGGGCAAAAAATTAACAACACTCTACAATGGAAATGTCGCAGAGTGGTCAGACAGAGAAGGAAAACCATTACAAGCAGGTTTCGATAAATACGTTGGCCAACAATTAACAATGACTTATCCAGAACCAGGTGCTTATATTAAATTTACATTCGGATACTCAATAGAAGCTTTAGGAGTTAGAAATTATAATACTGGCCCAATAAAACCAGTTTTCGATGATATGGATGAAAAAAATCCTTCTTTTTACACACAGAATTTCGAAAACTTTAATGTTACTTATGAATGCGATGATTCACTTGAAGATGGTGAACTTGTTTCTAATGGAGATCATCCATTTAATACAGAAACAATTGTTGTTTCAATTAAATGTCCAAACCCTTCAGACACCATGTTCTATAAAGAAAACCAAACCCCAACCATCCTTAATGTTACAACAAATTGGTTATAAATGTTTGATATAATAAAAAAATTGTTATTCTTTTTTTTTTCTTATTTTATGTGTGAAAAACTTAGGTAGATGACATTTCTCATATAAGAATCATATGTTATGTATATGATTTGTCTCGGGATTAAGAAATAAAATTATCATTTTTAGTATTAAAATAAATATTTAAAGTAGTTAAACATTTTAATTAGAGTATCGATCTGTAATCAATTCTTATCCGAATATCAAGTCGTATACAATTATGTAAATATTTAGGAAAATTAATGGGATTTTGCATACACTTTGGAATTGATAGATTAAAGCTGCTATTTTGCCTTTAGCTGAAGGATCTGGATTTTCTGGGGAATAGTTTAATCCGAATGTCATTAAAAATCTTTCCTGATTAAGAATGCAAACTGCATTAGTAAGGATAATAATTCCATAAATAATTGACCACTGTTTGTTAGAAAATAAAATGAACTAATCCAATCATTGGTTATTTGAACTCGTCACTTTTCATAAAATCAAAAAATCTAAGATTTACATGTCAAATTGTCAAATGGAAGTTTATATTGATTTTTAACACATTAAATAAAATATACATAAGAAGAACTATCTGTATTTTAGGAAACTTATGAAATTTGATGACATAAATTTTTTTTCTCTCAAACAGAAAAAAAATTAAAAAAGCAGCTTCGGGGGGACTTGAACCCCCAATCTTCTCCTTAGAAGGGAGACGCATTTTCCGTTCTGCTACGAAGCTTCTTCGATAAAGTCTTTTTTAAAGCTTTTCTGATAGATATCAAGGACTTTTAATTCATTTAGATTATAACGATTCCTTTTGGAAATGGCTAAACAAGGTTCTGTTGTTCCATTGCTCATAAATACTCTTATATTTTTTATAAAAAAATTAACTTTTAAAAATATCCATCAAAGTTTTCTCTCATTGGTTGATACTATTATAACCATTAACTTCTGATACAATTGCCCATTTCAATTCTTCATTCTCTAGCTAATTTTCCATAAACTGAATCATCAATTATTGTCACCTTTATGTCACTTTTAAATGTCAGCACCTAAGCTTAGAGATCATGTTGGCTTACTTCAAGAAGGCTTTGAAGGCCTTTTGACAACAATTTTCCGCACAATCGAAAATATCCAACGTGATGCTTGCTTAGCTCCAGGAACTAACGAAAATCAATTAAAATTCGAAAATCTTCCACAAATTGCAGAAGAAATTGTTAAACGCGTCAAATATATCGATGCTCTCATTGATGAGGCAGACAAAGAAACATGCATTGGCAAGGATGAAAAAGAAATTCTTCAATCCTTAAACGACAAGAATCTCGAATACGAACAGGATGTTGAGTCATTATCTCAAAATTGCGAACAAGCTGAGAAATGGCTTGGCCGTATTCGTCAAATGCTTGATGTCATTGCTTCTAACACCTGGATGCACCAAACAGAAACCCAGGACCAATAAATTTGTTTATAATATCCTTAAATACAAACTTATGTAATTAAACACCTTTTTATAATGTTTCGAAATTAATTTTTATTTCATTTAAACGTTTGAACATTACCATAGTTAACGTGCTGCTACTGCTAATCGCAAAATAGATTTTGTTAATGATAAAATCTGCAGTTTCTAACATTCTGACATTGAGACTTAATATATTTTACATTCAAGCTCCTAATGGAGAAATTTGAGTAATGTTATGGATAGTTAGATTATTTATGATAATAAAATGGAAGGATTTTAAAATCAAAAAAGTGCCAAAGATTTTTGCTCTCTGTGATTTTAGAAAAATAAAATGAGTGGAAGGAGACTTTTTGTTGCATGCAGTGCTTTGGATGACTCTCCATCACAAATTGTTTCTGAGAAACTTGCTTCTATTGAACCATACAACAATTTTTCAACATCTTTAAGCAAACATAATTTTGATATTGTCGACAAATATTTAATATCAATCATCGTTAAATCAAAAGCCGGATCAAAACTATGCATTAACAGCGATATGAAACTCCAAAAGCGTGCAGAATGCTCCATTGATGCTAATGTAAATTGTATTACAGTAGGTGGTGGCTATATTGCTGCAGGCTTAACAGATGGAAGATTATGCCTCTGGAGAGCATCTGATGGCGAGCTTGTTTTTGATGATGATATGCATCTTGGCCCAATTTCATGTCTTTCAATCAATACATCCCTATGGGTTATTTTTGCTGCATCAGATACAGGAAGAGCAGCTGGATGGTGCATTCCAGACCTCTTTAAGGATGCTCAACCAGACCAAACATGGTCAATTCATTCATTAGGTATTACAGATATGGCAGTTTCTACAAACGGTCGCGTTTTTACAGTAGGAAAGGACAAATTACTTAAATGCTTCGATTTTTGCGCAGGATGTGAAATTCTTTCAGTTTCATTCGAAAATGAACTTACATGCTTATGCTTAGCCCACAATGAAGGCATCGTATATGTTGGTGATGTTGCTGGAGGAATTTATCCGATTTACTTAACAGCAGAATCAGAAATTGGCGAAAGATTTGATCCGGGCCATTCAATGGCCGTTACTGATCTTGCTATCAGTGATGACGATCGTGCTCTCTATAGTATTTCACTTGATAGATATATCCATTGCTGGGATACGTCTTCAGGCGTTTCAATTAAGAATCGCCAAATTTCTGGAACTCCTTTCTCCTTGAAATGGCTTCCAGACATTCCTAAAGAGGAAACAGATAAACAAAAGGGAAGACCTCCAAGAGATCAGAGAGGAAAACCAAAAGGTTTCCCTGTTTTGAAGAAATCAAAGCAAACAAATCGCGATGAACTTGTTTCAGCTCCTCCATCAGAGATTCCAATGATTTCTCCTGATGAAGAAGCTCAAATCGCGATCACTGATGTATTTTTAAGCAAATCGCTTAATTCTGATTCTGTTAAGGCAGAATTAAAATAAATAGAAATAAAATAGAATTTGTACTTAATTAAATCATTCATAAAAATATTTTTTTTAGATATTCTTTCAAAATTATTAATTATCATAGACATATTATATGAAATATAGTCATAAATGTATATAAACATCCAATATTTTCACATACATGGTCCAGAAATGCATATGTTTTGTTTTGAATACTGAAATTTTGAAGAATCTTGAATTTAAATTCAAAACCATAATGTGTTTCAATATTTATTCAATAAGATTGTTTCCCGCCAAAAAATACCGTTTTTTAAAATTTTCGTCAGATTTTTCTTTGTCTTTTTTTTTATTTGAGTGAATGGACGCTGGAAGACCACTACCTCCAATCCCTGGACTTGACGGAATTCCTGATGAATTAATAAATCACCTTAGAAAACGATCAAATAGAAAAGAAGATTCTCGATTTCCATACAAAGTATTCGCTTTACTAAAATGGGTAGGCTACGATCAAAATAGAGCAAATCTTGCTGGATGTGGCTGGGTGTCAGACTCACAAAATGAATTTTATATTCACAAACCAAGATTATGCGAGGTTTTAAACGTTAAATTAAATACATTAAACGTAAATTTGAAAACACTAGGATTTGAACAAACAAGAAAAGTCGGAGAACATTCCTACTTCAAAAACGATATATTTTCAAAAAATTCTTCGCAACAAGACTTTGAAAGAATACGAAATAGTCGCTGTAAACCAGATTCTTTAATGCATATGAACGCAAAAGCAGCTTATTTTCCACTTCTTGAACATATTCAGTTATTCATGATGGATGAAAAAGCCATCAGTATGTTCAAAAAAGAAGTCATACAAAAATGGGAGAAATTGGTTGGTTCTCCTTTGATTTTTGCAGTTTCAATACCTGTATTTACCAAATATTTGTTAAATTCTATCCAAGATTCATTAGGATACCATGATGAGAATAATACTATACAACAAGTTTTAGTCGGAAAAACACCCAACGTTGTCACAATTTTTGATTTTGCTGTTTTTTTGGCCAGATTCGGTCCTTTTGATAATGTACCTTATAAAATCATGCAATATCAGCAAATACTTCATATAATTCAGCCAGACTATTTCATGTTCACAGCTCCATCGTTAATTAACTACTTTTCAAGTACTTTCCATAATTGCTTTAGTTTCAAAATATCTCAAACAGGAGAATATCACTGCTATAATCTACCGCTAATTTCATCATCAGCTGCTTATTTGGTGGATGAAGATGGAGTTTATTACAAATCATGGGAAAAAATGGTTGAGGCTAATCACTTTTTGACACAAAGAGGATAAACATCACATAGGTATTCGATTTTGTTTGTAAATAGTGTTTTATATGGATGAAATTTATCATTTTTTTTATTTGATCCTATTTTATGCATGTATTGTCACCACATATCGTATTAGTCAAGAAATTAGAGATACTTTCTATGATGTTTATATTCATTACACTATTTCAGGTTACAGATTTTTTACAAACGGTTATATTCAGAGAATATCTACTGTCGTCTAAGAATCGTTCAATTTCCTATGCTTATTTTCACCTTCCTGTAAAACATATACCACGCCCACTGCCGCGAACAAAATTTCCCAAATGATAATTTTGAGAAAATCGATTCCAAGTTTATAGAACACTCCATCTCCCCATTTAAGGCCAGTTTCTACAACCCATATCATAACAGGCCAAATGAATTGATGGAGAAATTTTACATGATCCCGAGAATCAAATATTCTTTATAAATAGTATCTTACAAGAGTTAATTATTTTGTTACGATTTCGAAATCGTAAAAAATTGGTCGGTTTACAAAATTTTACAAATTCATTTTTACAAATAATGAAAACTTTGATAACATTTGATATAGACGGAACACTTCTTAACTTCTCCGATAAAGGCCATTGTTATATACGTGTATTTAATCAAACTTTCGCTGACATTTTTGGCGGCGACAAAAATCCGAGAGATTATTTACCAAAAAGAATGTGCGGAGCTACAGACAAATATCTTCTAAGTTATATGATCAAAGAAATTACAAAGCAACCAGAAACAGATGAAAAACTTTATCATCAATTTCATGATGAAATCATTTCACGTTTTGTGAAAGAGTTTGATGGTAGCATTTCACTCACAAAAGGATGCAAAGAGCTACTTGATCATCTATCTAAAATGAAAAATGTTGGTTTGGGTGTATGCACAGGAAATTTCCCCGAAATTGCACAAAAGAAACTTTCTTCATGCGGCATTTTAGATTATTTCGATAAGGATGCATGCTGCTTTGGAGCATCTGAAGAACGAACCAATGTTTTAGCAGATGCTATCGCTTCTGCAACAAACAAACACGGAAAATTCTCAAAAGTCATCCATTTCGGCGATACTGTCCCAGATTATAACGCTGCACTTGATAATAAAGCCTTTCCATTTTTAATTACCTATTGGGGCTTTGATTCTCATGTTCCACAGCTTAATTTCAAAAATACTTACAAAGATTTTATTGAGTGCAAAGAGGACTTGCTTACACTCATCAATTCCGAATAGATGTAATTTTTCTATTTTTATTAATAAATATTTGTTGTTTTTTCTTATTAATTACTTATATTTTTATGCCTAGGAATAATTTTTTTTTTCATTCGAAATCATTCCTATTTTAGTGGGAAAAATTATTGAAATTGTGAATGTTCCAAATAAAGTCGTCTTGTGTTATTGCTTTGAGCAAAAAGAAGAGAAACCAATATTATCTTATTTTGGTTGATGTTTTTTTTTACCACAAAACGATAAAAAGTCTCACAAATGTAAAATGGTAAACAAATTCGAATTCATGACAATTTTTTTTCAAGATAGGTTAAAAACATTCCTAATAGATTATACACTAATATTTATAAAAGAGAAAACAAGCAATTTTCTGCCACTATTGAAAAAATAATTGAGTTATTATGAAGCTTTATCAACGAATTATTAATGCAAAACACATCTATTACAAGGTATAAACGTTCACAAGGTCGTCCAGCCAAAGATCCAGAAACAATCAGCATAAATGAGATGTGTGAGGAAAAAATTGCTAAATTGGGAGATAGATTTTCTATAATAAAACAAAAATATGAAGATTTAACAAGGAACCAAATGTTGGATTTTGCAGAAAAGATGAAAAAAGAACATAATATAAAAATAAAATATGCAACAAAAAGAAATCTGACCAGATTTCTAATATGGATATGTGAAAATTACGAAAACCTTGCACCTTATTTAGAATCTCTCGTCTCAACAAGTTCATCTCCAACAATTGGCATCATTACAGAAGCTTCAAAATCTAATGAATCTAATGAAAAAGATGATAATAATGATTATGATGGTAATACGTGTTATGTAATGGATGATACGGAGTTTACAGAATTTCAAGAAATTCAGGGTGTTTTTTAAAACAAAATCATGTATTTTTTTATTTATTCATGTTTTCTCCTGTTAAAGTCAATTGTATACAAACTATTACATTCTTATTTATTTAAGAGTTCAACACCGAATTTTGAATTTTTGAAATTTAATTATGAATATTCATGAATGTAGGAGATAAAGGATAAATAATTTCAAATATTTGCACCACTAAATCATAAATAAGGAATCAATTGATTCTTTCATCAAAATTTGGACTCAATTGTCTAGGTTATTCTATCCAAACTTCTGAAGTTATCGAATCATTTTACAGATCGGTAACCATTTTACACGATCAGACAGTCATAAATACGCTCTTTGAAAAAGTTTGTTATTCACAGCGAGTACCCTCCTTACATAAGAGATATGAATAATTCTAATAAAACCTCATTTTTGATTTTCTTTGGTTAAGAAGGGTTGAGAGAAGTATGGTTGATAAATGCTGCAATCATTTGGTAATCCAGAGCTTTCAGACTGTAGAAAATAATGTTTGATTGAAATTATATGCTATATTGGTTGATAACAAATAGACATTGAATTATTGAATGATGTTTTCATTTATCAGAAAAAGACACACTCTGAAAAGAATTATTCATGTGACGTCGTTTATATGTTCTACAATAAAGCTTCCTCATACTTATTCTCAATGATGATCAACTCAGAATTTTAGTGAGCTTGCATATTATCATTATCATTTATGGCATATTTTGATTTGTGATAAATTGATACTCATCGTTAACAAAACAGGCTTATTTGCTATAGATGAATTTGTGAAATCATGTATTTTGCTGTCAAATTTAAAATGTCATTGTCATTTTTTTCCACAAAAATTTACCATCAAAAACTAAACAATTCAAATATAGCATCTATTTAATTCATCTCGAGGGATTTCAAGCATATTTACATAGATATTTTGATGAAGTAGGGAAATTTCAGATAAAATTCATAGACAAGCATGTCATGAAGCTTTTTGTCAGAATGAAATAAATAAAGTTTAATGATATGTAGCGTGGATGTATATACTTGGAACAATTCTTTAGGCAAAAAAATCAAATTATAAATGCATGACAGCCTAGGTAATAATGTGTTAGAACGAGATTAACAAGAAGGCGCTTCTTGTACTTCTTCCATTTCGGAATCTTCTTAGGTTCCTCTTTCTTCACCACTTTTGGTGGTGGTTCTGGGAAATCTTCTTCTTCGCTCATGAAAAATTTTTAGACGTTTTTCGAAAATCTGGAGACTGTACAAGATTTTGAAATTCAATTATAAAGATTCAACTATTACATTTTATTCTTAATTGATTCTTCAGTCCAAAAAAAGAAAATAAGAATACTTTTGACAGGTAATTTTTGGCAGCATCTCTAAAATATCGAAATTTTTGATATTTTCTTCACGCATCTTTGTCATTGATATTTGCAGCATGTGAAATAATAAGTTCAGCTGTTTCTTTACAGTTTTTATATGCTGCATAATGAAGAATGTTTTTTCCGATTTTTATCTTTTTCGCTTAAATTTGCACCATGTGAAAGAAGAAGTCCTGCTATTTTCATATAATTATTATGCATGGCATAATGAAGAGCGGTTTTTCCATTTTTATCTTTTTCATTAATATTTGCACCATGTAAAATAAGAAATTCAGTTATATCTTTACGATTATTTTCTGCTGCATAATGAAGAGCGGTTTTTCCATTTTTATCTTTTTCATTAATATTTGCACCATATAAAATAAGAAATTCAGTTATCTCTTTACGATTATTTTCTACTGCATATTGAAGAGCGGTTTTTCCATTCTTATTTTTTTCATTAATTCCTGCACCATGTGAAATAAGAAGCTCGGCAGTTTCTATTTTATTATAAAATGTTGCACATTCAAGAGCTGTAGTTCCTAATATATTTTTTTTATTAATATTTGCACCATGCGAAATAAGAAATTCAGCCATCTCTTTATAATTATTATCTGCTGCAATGAGAAGAGCGAATCTACCAAAATTTATTTCAACATTAATATTTGCACCATGTAAAATAAGAAATTCGGCCATTTCTTTATTATTGTGTAATACTGCATAATGAAGAGCGAAGGTCCTACCTTTATCTTTTTCACTAATCTTTTCAACATGTAAAATAAGAAGTTCGGCTAATTCTTTATTATTGTAATGTATTGCATGAATAAGAGGGATATGTCCCCACATATCTTGTTCATTAATATTTGCGCCATGAGAAAGAAGAAGTTCTGTTATTTCTTTATAATTAAAATACACTGCGATATGAAGAGCTGTGTTTCTACATCCATCTTTTGCATCAATGTTTGCACCATTTGATAGGAAATATTCGCAAAGAGATGGAATATTGAAAACTATTGATTCAACAAAACTAGTGTTGATATCATTAGTTTGATCGTAATAAACTAAAAATGATTCAAGATTTTTATACTCTTGACAATATTCTAAATCGATCTCTATATTGTACTCATTCATCAAAAATGTAACAAAATCAATGTTGTGTGAAATAATTGCATAACGCATGCATTCTTTACCTGGTTTTTGATATTTCAAACATTCACTCATGATCTCGGGATTTCCTCCTAAAAATGAGAGTTGTAAACATGTTTCAGTTATTTTCGAGTTAAATTTAGTTCTTAATAACTTGAAACAATCAACTGCTCCATGATAACAACATAATTCAAGTAATGAAAATCCAGATCCTGGATATAATTTACTATCAAGTTTTTGATCTTTATCAAATTCTTCTCTTTCCGTGAATATGATGAATCTTTCTTTGTCATTATACATAATTGCTCTGTAAATTGTATTTTCTGCATGAATATCAAGATTTTCTGATTTAATTTTTTCGAAATCTTCAGATTTGTCTAATTTAATTCCATGTTCTTTATAATACAGGAAATTTGGAACCTCTTTGACCTCTTTGACACGATATTCATCAGATATGAGTTTGGCAAGAGAAAAATATGAATTTGTATAACGATTATTATACGGAATGATATTGAAGATATCATTGATTATATCTTGTGGAAGAAATTTCTTTGAATAAATCAGTTCTGTTTTGATAATTTTGTAAATTGAGTTTAATTCTCCTTCATTTTCTGTTTTTAGCTGATACAACGCATTATATGAATCTATGTAGTTTTTATAGATACTTCGCAATTCGATGTATCTATTTTGGTGAATATCTTGATCAGACATGAAAAAAAATTAAAAGTATTTTACTTGCATTTGACAATAAAAGGTATCTTTAGAATTCATGTTTGCGGGAGAAAATTCTATGCTATACATGTGGATAACAATGACCACAAAATTTCGGATACAAATTAAAAAATATCAATGATACTTAAGGGTCATCACATACAACACATTCTTATGATTATCATTATATAGATTATGGAATATTGCATAATAATCCAAATTCAATTTCAATATTAAAGTGTACTATCCATTATCTCTTAACATCATAACATACTCAACGAGTACTGATCATATGCTATTGATCAAGCCTTTAAAACAGACTACATATATGATTGCTTTAAATTGACCAAAAAATTGAATACTTCCTTTAAATTGAACATTCAATTTAGAGTTCGTCCCTTCTGCCATTCAATGAAAAAATCAATACATCTTTATTTTAATAGCATAAAAGTATAGCAGCCATATTATGTACTATGTAGTGATTTATATTTACTTTCTCCTGAACAAAAATAATAACTTATGACATTAGAATATTGTGATAGAAAGCTTGTGTGTCAAAGTGCACTCTTAATATGTCACTTTTTATTTTTTCAAATTTTTTTTAAACTTTAATTTGTGCGACAATTTAGTTTACAAGCCAATGGATACCTACTATATGTTAGGCACTGGTGTTACAGGAGATATGCATAATGCTGATCCAGATGACACTTGTGAAAATTTAATAATTAAAAATGAAATTGGAAATATTCCTGTAACATGTGTTGGTATTAATGCATTTACAGGTCATTCATGTTTGAAAACTGTATATATCCCAAACACTATAGTTTATCTAGGCTTCGATTGTTTTGCATATATTTCTACTTTGAAAACAGTTATTTTTGAAGAAAGATATAATACATCGCTTGAATTCGATCAAGGTGTATTTTATCAAGATACTATGAATATAATTCGATTTCCAAGTAAAATTTCATCATCAAAATATCATGTTTTATCAAAATCTAAGATAGAAAAAGTTATATATTGCGGAATGGATAAAATAGATGCAGATTGGTTTGAAGATATATCGCCACCAACTGTTTTTGTTCATTATCTTTATCCTTATAATAAATTTGCAAATGATCCACATCTTGTTCGTACACAAGAGTGCGGCTTATACACAAAGTGTTTAGTACATTCCATTATGTATGTTCCATTCCCATTTTTTTGCATTTTATCTTCTTTACTTACAATCAACATTTGCTAACAAATCAAATAAAATATTTTGATTATTTCTATCAGTATTATATTACTATGCCCTTATATAATTATGATACTTGTCTCAAAAAAAAAAAAATCTAAATAATGTTAAGAAAGAACGTAAATATTTATAAATTATAAACAATACTTTATAACCAGAAGCCCAATGGTGCCGATAGTAAGTTCAAACTCCAAAATGGATAATGTAAGAAACTCTTTGCGTCTTGGACGATTCTTTCAACATCCCAATCTTGGAATGTCATAATATTTTGTATTAATTGACCAGGATCGTCGACGATTTCAATTTGATCGAGATGAGTTGAAACCAGCGCTTTTATGTATACTGTTAGCTCTTTTCTGTTGATAATGACATTATCCCAGATGTATAAAACGTCGAGTGGAGTATGAGAGTCTGCGAAAAATACGCCAACCCAATTTGCAGCGAAATGTTCACTTCTAAGTTGGTTTTCGAAGAGTATTTTCATTAATTTTCTGTTGTGCTTGAAAAGAAACGCGTCGAGATCTACGAAAAATTGCATTGACGTACTTGGCAAAGTTAAAAATTTTGCGGGCTCAGAAAGTGTTACAAGGTTTCTAAGAAGGACAGCTGCAAAGGCCTCAGCTTCTATTAGCGAAAGGCTAATCCTCAAAGCAAAATGCAATGACAATGCAAATGAAACGCTTGCAAGGCGATCAAATCCCTGCAAAAACGAATGCTGTGGAGCATCACTGATCATTATAACCAAAATTCTTGTAATTCGAGTGATAGAATCATCACACATCGTCAAAGGAACTCCGATTTCTTTGATGATGTTTCTAAAGAGGTTTTTACCACGCTTGACATCAGCTAAAATCTCCTCTGTTTGCTGATTCGTCAAGCAATTCGGTATTTCTGACTTTGATTTTGTATGATAATAATTAAGTTTGTTTCTGTAGTTCCTGATCATATGATAAAAAGTTTCGGGCCAAACTGATGGATCTTCTGGAATAGCATCAAATGACACCATCCAAGCGAGAAATCGATTTGAAGAGCATTTTCCTAAATTTCTGCTTTTCATGAAGTTTGTAGCGTCTTTCTTGCACTTAATCTGGAATGATACATTCTTAAATGCTTTTTCAAGACGCTCTAGTGATACAATATCATCATTCTTTGATTTGTCATTCATGATGATTGTCACTTTTTAAGTCCTAACTTTACAAATATATCCTTGATATAAAAAAATGACTTTTTGCGCATATATGGACCCCCTTAACTGGGCACACAGGATGTATTTGATTGAAGCAATTGATGAATGCGGCTTCGAGAATGGTTGGGAGCCGATTATTCAAAAAATCCAATTATTATGTTCTACTTTCATGCCCGAACAAGGTTCAACTTTCAACTTAAGTCCAGATAACTGCAATTTATGGTATCTTCAAGTTTTAGCTGAGTTTGGAGACTTCAGAAGACTTAGCGATCCATTAACTCCACCATCTCAAGAAATCAAAGACAAAATCAAGGCAATGCGAAGATCCCAGTTACGTCACGAGCTACTCCTCGTAAATAATCAGCTCAGATATAACAATTACATCCTTAAACACCATCATGATAATCCAATCATTGCCCAGGACCTTCAGTGGGTGAGATTTAATACAGAACCTAAAGCACAACCACAGATCATCAATAATTTACTCGTAGAGACCTGCATTAAAGTTAACGAATCAGAATGGTTCAAAGTTTTACCAACACAAGGTCTTCAAGGCAAGAAATTGCTTTCTATGAATGATGTACTTGCTCGCTGCATTTCAGGAGCTGTCACAGACGCTTTAGAGTTTGTTCGTGATATTATTCAGATTCACACGAACTACAGCATTTGTACTCTATCAGATCGTGAAAAGAATGCGAATAATCATTTACGGACATACTGTATCGATGCTGTTCGTCCACTTCTTGAGAAAGATCCGCGTTGGCAAAGAATCAAAGAGTTTGTTGATGTTCCACTGTAATTTCTATCATATATTAATGTTAAGTAAATGAATTTTATTATTAAAACTTATAGTTATTTTTTTAAAACAAATCATATTTATTAAATATAGATAAAATGGTGTTAATAAGACTCAAATTGATAAGAGATAATTTTTAACAGCTCCCCATCCAACAGAAAGTGGGGTTTCACCTTTATTATTTTTGGTATCTTTATTTGCCCCGACTGAAATCAGATATTTTACAATTTCAAGATTACTTTTATCTGATGCACAAATGAGCGGAGTGTTTCCTTCATTATTTTTCGCTTCTTTGTTAGCTCCTGATGAGATAAGATATTTTACAATTTCAAGATTCCTATTTTCTGATGCACAAATAAGTGGAGTGCATCCATTATTATTCTTTGCTTCTTTGTTAGCTCCGGATGAGACGAGATATTTTACAACTTCAAGATTGTCTCGAGATGATGCACAGATAAGTGGAGTGCATCCATTATTATTCTTTGCTTCTTTATTGGCTTCAGCCGAGATAAGGTATCGAACAATATTAATATAACGATGATGTGATGCAATAATGAGTGGGGTATCTCCGTCTTTATTTGTAGCTTTCTTATCAGCACCAAAAGATATAAGATATTTTACAATATCAAGTTTGCCTTCTTTTGAGGCAATTATGAGAGCAGTATCACCATTTTTATTTTTCGCCTCAATATTAACTCCAATTGAGATTAAATACTTAACAATATCAAGTTTGCCACATTTTGAAGCAACAATGAGAGGAGTATTTCCATCTTTAGTTTTAGATTCTTTATCAGAACCAATAGAAATGAGATATTTAATTATACCGAGATTATCACAACATGATGCCTTAATAATGGGAGTCCAACCATCATTATTTTTTGCTTCTATATTAGCTCCTGCCGAAATGAGATACTTAATAATATCGAGACAATATGTATAATATGAAACTTGAATGAGTGCAGTATTTCCTTCATTATTTTTTGCATTGACATCTGCACCAACTGAGATTAGATATTTAAGAATTTCAAAATTATGCGCATTAACAGCAGTTATGAGAGGTGTATTTCCATCATTATCTTTTATTTCTTTATCAGCTCCGATAGATATAAGATATTTTACAACTTCAAGACGACCGTCTCTAGATGCACAATGAAGTAATGTTTCACCTTTATTATTTTTTGCATCTTTATCTGCTCCACAAGAAATTAGATATTTAAGTAATTCTAAGTTACCATTTTTTGAATAGTATTGGATCAAGGCATTACCGTTATATATATTTGCTTCTTTATTAGCGCCAACAGAGATTAGATATTGACTCACATTAAGATGATGATTAATTAATGCATAACTTAATGGAGTTTTTCCATCAATATTTTTTGCTTCTAAATCAGATCCGAGAGAGAAAAGATATTGAACAACATCAATATGGCCATTAAATGATGTATTAATGAGTAAAGTATTTCCATCATAATTCTTTGTTTCTTTATCAGCTCCAATAGAAATAAGATATTTAACAACCTCAAGTTTGCCTCCAGATGATGCGCAATTGAGAGAAGTGTTTCCATCATTATCTTTTGCTTCAATATTAGCTCCGACAGAGGTTAAGTATTCAACTACATCAAGATGACCTTGTTTTGCAGCTAGAATGAGTGGAGTTGATCCAATATTATCCTTTGACTCTTTATCAACTCCCACAGATATCAAATATTCTACAATTTTAATATGACCATTATTTGAAACATGATGTAGTGAAGTTTTCCCATCAATATCCTTTACTTCTTTCTTAACTCCAGAAGAAATTAGATATTTAACCACTTCAAGTTGACCACCATTAGATGCCAAAATGAGCGCTGTTTGATCATTTTTATTTTTTCCTTCTTTATCAGCTCCAATAGAGATAAGATATATAACAATATCAAGATGACCATTCCAAGATGCCCAAATGAGAGATGTATTTCCATAATTATCCTTTGTTTCTTTATCAGTTCCAAGAGATATAAAATATTTTACAATATCAAGTTGACCATGCTGGGATGCATGAATGATTGGAGTAGATCCATTATTATCTTTTGCCTCTTTATTAGCTCCAAAATTGATAAGATACTTAATTAATTCAAAATGACCATTAATTAACGCATTAATTAGTGGAGTACATCCATCATTATCCTTTTCTTCTATTTTGCAGCCACATTGAATAAGATTCACCACTAGTTTGAGATTTCCATTTGCAGATGCTTCATTAAGAATGTTTCTACCATTTTTATTTCTGATATCACAAAGGCCTTCTTGGAATGCCTTAAAAATAATATTTTGATTTTCTGCTCTTGATGATTCATCAAGAAATTTGTAGATACTATCGAATTTTTTTGAATTCTTCAATTCCTTAATTTTTGGAAGAATTTCTCTTGGATTGAAATTGTTACTATTTCTTAATCTAAACATTGAGTTCTTATATGGGTTATTAATAAATTTACCATTTTCAAATATTAATCTATCTATTTCTTCCATAATTGGTTCTCCACAAAACTCAATATTGATGTAGTTAATTAATGGATAGTAAATTTCGGATTCTTTAATAAGAGAAATGATGAACTTTGCCAAGGAATCTTCATCATTTATTGCAAGTTCTTCATTGCTAAATATCCTATGAAGAATGTCCACATCAATTTTTTGGCAATCATTTTGAATTGAATTTCATCGATTTTGGAAAAATGTGTTGAAATAAAATCTGCAATTCTTTCAATCTGTTTATCTGCTGAAATAAAGATATAATAATCAAGGAATTGAATGCAATTTTTCGGTTTTAATCTCTTTTTATCAATAACATGCTTCTTGTATATATCTATTAGTTCATTCATTTCAAGAGCGATCCCAATATGAAAGATATCTTGCAAAACTGTCACATCACATTCAATTTCTTTTTTTTCATATTGAAGCATATCTTTTAGTACACCATATGTAGATGATGATGCAATATCAATATTGAGAGCATATTTTGCAATGCAATTATCTAAAATATATTGATCGCATAATTTTTGTGAAATTGAAACTGCAAAAGATTTATTAAGCAAGTACTCGACATTATTGATTGCTAAAACAAGCTTTTCTGATATATGGAAGCAATTGCTTCTTCGAAGATTATGGTTGTTAAGCTGAATTAGATACATTTATTTTTATTTAAATTTTTTTGAAGTAAAGATTTTTGAAGGTATTTTCATTTTCCATGTGAAGTGACATGAAACATTTCATAAATCTGCTTTTAGTAAGCACGATACAGTGTTATCTGTAATTTTTTCAACAAAATGGAAAGTTTTTAGTCGAAATCCACATAAAATATAACATAAAAGACTGTAAAATAAAGTATATAAAAACTTCATAACCTGAAAATCCTATGCAAATGCCTCTATTTCATGTAAAATAAGATGATGAAATCAATTATTTAGATTTATATACCAATTTCGAAATTTTCAAAATTCAGATTTTTGTTTTATTCGTGAATAATGAAAATAAATCATGAAAATCATAAAGTGGTAAAACAAACATTTTATTAAAACATATAAAAAATAAATCATTTCACTTCAGTGATGAATGCCGCAAGACCTATTGCGAACATCGACTCAGGCTCGAGTGGGAATACTGCCTGAAGTTCAATAACATCTGTTTGGATTTTTCTAATCCAAAATAAGTCATCTCCATCTTTTTTCTCGTAAAGTACAGCATTTTTAACAGATTGGACGTGAAACCTGCCATGGAAGTTATATGTGACCTTTTTAAGTACTTTTTCTGTAGGTTGCCGACTCATTAACTTTTTTGGAATTCCTTCAGCCTGATTGAAGAAAGAAACACACATTCTACGAGCGGGATCTTTACCTTCCTTCGGGTAGAACCTAATCGAAAGAATTTCGTCGCTAGTTTGAGATTTTAATCTCAATGAGAAAGCTGCAGTTTTATTTCCTACAGAAACATAGGCATCTACATCAGATGTATCGTCTTTTGAGATCTGAATAGACTCAGAGCCTTTTTTGTATACAGCAGATAAAATAAATTCACTTAACATATAAAATCTGAAAGTAAATGTAGATCCAAGTAAGCCAACATTTTTCTCTCTGGAAATTCTGTAAACTGGTTGCTCTTTTGACTTAACTTCAATTGGAATCGCATATTTTGAATGATTTCCAATTGGCTGATTAGGTTGAGGCGTAGTTTTTACAGGAGGTATGTCTTTGGGCTTCTCTTGCTCTTTTTTATTATCTTTTTCCTCTTCTGGATCTGTTGGTTCATCAGTGGCATTTTCTGATGAAGAAGAATCGATTTTTACGAATTTCTCTGGACTACTCTCACGTCTTTGAGATCTTTTTCGCGGTTTTTCATCTGTATTTTTGGGTTTCTCTGCTTTTACAGGTCGAGTTGCTTCAATTTCTTTTGGAGCCGTTTCTGTAGTAACATCGCTAGCTTTTTCAACAAGAGTAGGCTCAGGATCCGTATGCTCTTCTGATAAATCTACTTCCTGAAAAGTAATAATATCTTTCTTTCTTGTTTTCCTAGTGTTTACATGCCTTTGCGGGGGAGATTCTAACACCTGTGGCTGAACTTCGACAACTTTCTTTTCTACTTTAGTTGCCTCTTTATTCTTTCTAACTCTACGCCTTTGATTATTATTATCTTGTGGGTATTTTGACTTCCCGTTTTCATCAGGCACATTAAATCTAGGTTTAAAAGGTACTGTATTCTTAAAAAGATTTACATCATCTCCGTCGCTCGATGAAAAGTCGACGTTGAAGAGAGACATTCAAAGAATTTGAATCAATTCGTGATAAATTATATTGTTGAATTGTATTAATATTGATTGATGATATATAAACCATAAATTTATAAGGTTATTTCAATGAACGCGAAACATTTATTCATGGAGTGTTTGATAAACTATAGGTCATCTAAAGCATTTTACTTAGTAATGTCATAGTTAATGGCTGATGATTTAGATTCAATATTTTAGGGGTACGAATATTATGCCATTATATTGCTATCAATCATTAGCCATTCATATACAATATAAATACATAGTAATTATATCAAGATTTATGCATTTTTCAGAATTTAGATATTCCTATCTTTCATAATCCTTCAAAATTAACTTTGTAAATTGCCTATAATTGACATAGGCAGTCTAGTTTGAAAACTTTGAATCATAAATTATGGATGAGTACAAAGAGGAAGATTCTAATGAGCATACAACATTTGTTAAATCCAAATTATTAAGTGACAACTTTGCAAGCTTATTGACACCTGAGCAGGCAGCTAATGAGATTTCATCAAGAATAGAAATATTAACAAATTTTCTTGATTCTCCAGATGCAATCGAATTTTCACAATCATTAAAAGAATTAATCATTATTTGCAGCTGCTTTGATATCAAATTATCATTAAAAGCAGAATCTGCTGACTTTTATGAAAACTTATTTCAAACTTTGATTAACTTCCCTGCGTGTTCAACATATAATGATATCGTAATCCTAATTCTCCAGATAATCATCCACTCACCTCAATCAATTCCTCAAATGATGAATTTGAACGTTTTGGAGTTTATTTTTTCAATTTTGCATAATTCATTTCCAAAAACAATTTTTGAGAAATGCTATATTTCATTATCATGTATTAGCAGAGTAAGCAAGTCTTATCGAGATCAAGTTATCATTAAATTTCCAATTAATCACTTGTATATGGTTGCAGAAGGTCCTCAAGATGATTTCATTGTGGAATCAATAATAAAACTTATTCACTCATATTCTTTGTATCCACTTGATCAACAAGAAATTTCAGACGCAATTTTAATTATCAGATTGTTATTTGTTAATAACGGACAAAGGCATTTCACAAAAGATGGATTTTGCACTGCAATAAACTCATTACAATCATTGGTGAAATCACCTGTTTTCAAATTTGAAATGGTTGATTTTCTTGATCAAACTCTTCATTATTTCGGAAAAGATGATGATATCACAGAATCACTATGTTATATAAACTGCAGATATATCGTTACAAGCCGGAAATCATTTATTAATATGGATTTAATTGCAGATTTGATTGATTTAGAGTCAAAACCATCAATTATTGCCGCAGCTGCTCGATCAATAGGATTAATATGCTTTAATATGAAAGATTATGTTCAAAATAAAGACAATTTTGAATATTTACAATATTTATTCGAAATCTTTAATCAAGTGAAGTTTTCGGCCAAAGAAGAACTAGGATTTGCAATAGTTGGATTTTTCACATACATTAAAGATCAAATTCTATACGAGTACATCATTTTACACGCAGATACATTCTTTGATCTTATAAATCTATCAAATATTCAAACATTAACATTTATCGTTAATACACTCGAGAGGTTGAGACTATATGCAGCATTTAATGATCTCAAAAATGACTTTTATGATTTTCTTGTTAATTGCGAAATAATATCTCGCCTTGAAGATTTGTACGATGAACTCAGTGCAGACACTCAAAAAGAGAAAATTCTCAGTGAGAAAATTAACATATTTTTAGATAATATCCAAATATAAGAATTCAATGTAGATATTGTATATGCACGTTGAGATCATAAGAAGAGATATTTTTATTCCCATCGTTTAAATAAGAATTTGATCCTTCTTTTTGAATAAATATTATTGTTTGTATTATCACAATATGGTATTGCTTGAATTTTGACAGCCCAATGAAAGGTCGTTATGTGGAACTAATTTAAGAAAAAATGTTAAATGATAAGAATTATATTTTTCACATTTATCATAGAAAAATTAAAGGCAAATGTGACGGTTCCATAGTGTAATGGCTATCACTGGGGACTCTGAATCCCTAAATCCAGGTTCGATTCCTGGTGGAACCAAAATTTTTCTTTTTTTCTTATTTTTTCTCAATAATTCTGGAACTCTTAATTCATATCTCTCCAAAGACAAAACATGACGAAATCGGAAATACATGACAATTCGTTAAAAATTCATTTCAGAGATATTCTCTGATTTTTATTTGAGCTTTGATATCAAGATATTATTGAGTCTGCTTTGATTCAGACATCAAATAGTTATTTATTTATTAATCAAATTCATTTTTGTTCAATTGTCATGTAAATATCAAAATCTTTCAAAATCATTTCAAATTTGAAAACAAAGAATACAAATATAGAATTTATTCGATGACAGTATAAGTTGATGCTGGGTCCTTCTTAGCCATTATCTTTCTGGTATATATCACAGTGAAGAAAGACAAAATAGCATGAGAAACAACACCAACGAAAAGACACCAGGATTCAGGGCAAAGCTTTGTTTCTACATCAAAGCAAGTCTCGTGGCCTTTAATTGTATCTTCACCCGCAAAGAAAAGCGAAATTAAAGGATTAATCCAGTTACATTGATCACCAACCATGAACCTTGCGAACTGAGATATCTGCATAACAGCAGAACAAATAGATACAGCGAATACATCAATGCATGACCAACTGTAGAGTATTTCGACAAAAACAAGGAAATACCTTTGTTTCTTCGATATCATTGGAATAAACCAAAGAATTCCCAGTGAAATCAAATGCAACACAGGTGCAGCAATTGTTATAAGACCAAAAACAATCTGGCTGTATCTAATAGTAAAGCAATTTGGTTTTTCCGCGTGATCAGGCATAGTTAAGAACAAACTTACTGGAGAATATTCCTTTATATAAGGATATTGCATCGCTTTCAATGCCCATCCTGTGAGGCCAACCAACTCAAAACTGAAGAATTTTCTGATCATTCCAATAAACATGAAAGGAACAGAGATAAGATACATAACAAGGACAAATATATGAGAGAACATGTTGTTTTCACGTGAAAGGAATGTCATTTTATCCTCTTTTTCTTCAATTTCGATTTGATGATCAACTTTTCTTTCGAAATAAAGCATCAAATGGGATAAAATATATGTCAATATAATACAGAATATAAATGAAGTATATCCATACAATGGATAAACCCATAAGTTAATAGAAAATGGTTTCGAAATTAAACTACTGACAATTGGCATATCCAAGTTAAAGTTGAATGCCAAAAGCATAAGAATGACTATATATGTGCAAATATATATCCACTTGTGAAGGATATTCTGAGTCATCAAAACTAATTCACGCCATTTAGGTGTAATGACTGTAGCTGGTAATATCCATACAAGTAACATAGCAATCATCTGTGAATATGGCCAGACAATTGACATAATAAAAATTAAAACTGCTAACAAGTAAGTTTTGGCTTCCCACATCTGTGTAACAGTATTCCAGAGTGAGAACTCATGAACAGGAGGTAATGCAACGAGTTTATCGGTGCCAAGCCAAAATTTGATATAAACTGACAAAGCCATACCAGTATTTGATGATATATAGCCTGCTGTGTTGATAAGAAGGAAGAAAGGAATCAAACATCTTGTTAATTTTGAAAGTTTCGGTGTCATTAACAAAGATGATTTGGAATCTGTTCTAAGGAATCTTCCCATGCATGAAAGCTTTTCTTCATTAATGTTTTGAAGCATATCAAGCGATTCTAAGCTCTCTGCTGGCTTCATTTTCATCTTTGAAGAACAAATACAAACAATAATCATGAAAATCAGAGCTAAAACAAGAGCAGCTGTTGAAACAGATGATGTTATAACAGAATTAATCTCAACTTTTTGATCATTTGGTTGATCATGGCATGTTGCGTTCTTTAATTGAGTAGTAATCATATTATTAACTGCTTTGATGCCATATGTTTGTAAAACACTGGAAATGAATGGACCAGATAAGTTTCTATAATTATGAACAAAGAATTTCACAGCATTGTTAATAAATTCTCTGAAATTTTCTTCAATTCCGCCTTTTGTTGCATTTACTGCGAAATAATCAACAAAAGTATTAACTTTCATCTGTGTTATGCCTGTTCCATCTGCAGAAAACAATGATTTAAGGCAATCTTCATTGATACAGTCAGGATCTGTGAAATTTATTCCATATCCAACTTTATGAGCAATTTGAGCCAAAACTTTGAAGAACAGATCATGCAAAGATATATCAATATCAGCATATTCAGTAAGATAAAGATTATCTTCTGCATATTGAAAATCTGACAAAGAGAAATTATAAAAGAAAGAGATGTTGAAAATGAAATGATCCAATGTTGTGTGCGAATCAATGACGTAAGCACTGATCGGATCAAAGAATGTAGAATTCTTCCACGAATTCAAGCCAGAAATGTTTAAATCAAGGAGTTTGAGGTATAATGATGAATTCAAGAATGGTAAAGAAATGTTGATATCAATTGGATCTGTTAAATTGAAATAATTCAATAATGTTTCCAAATTAAATTCTCCCGTATTGTTTGTGAATCGATTTACCAATGAATTGATGTTAAATTCACCATCGCCTTGTGTTAGATTCGATAAAACATATCTTAATGTATCAATAAGAACTGATTCTCTCAAATCTGACATTCCTTCCCCAATTGGAATATCAATTGGCCTAACATCTCCAAGATATGGTCTGACCATGTCACTTATGTTGCTAAAAATACTAGACACGTTTGATACAACTGGATCTAATAATCCACTACAAAATATTGGGCCAATTTCTTTCTTGAGGACAGATTCAATCAAAGGCTCAACAGCATCATAGATTAATTCTTCCCATGCCTGGTCAAAATGTGCTTGTAATTTAATATTGGTCAACGTTGAGCCGCATTGATCTGAAGGTGCAGTAACTTTTGTGATGAGACCATGAGCATCATTCTCAAAATGAAAACCAATACGTGAATTCATATTATCAACTTCAGCATGTATTTTGGCAATAACTGGATTTAATTTTATAGGCTTCTGTTGTGTAACATTTAAGTCCAAATCAATTGAAGTTGTAATTGTTGATTCAATAAGTAATCCATTTTCGATCTTCCATGGATTTGGATAGTATGAAGAATTGATTTTAGTAAGATCAATATTGTATATTGTAATGTTATTCAATGCTATGCCGTAATTAAATATTGTGCCATTATGGGCAAAATCAATACGACCAAGATTAAGCTGAAGTCTAGAAATCCAACATTTGATGTCACATTCACCCCCAATCTCTTGTCTTAAGCACAAAACGATACACAAGAAGAGCCAAAGCATTTGATTTTTTTTTGATAATAATAGAATGGTTTCGAATTTTTCAGAACAAAACCACTTTTAACCCTTTCAAAAAATGGTTTCAATAACCAAGTTACCGTTAAAATAATTCGAAATCAACAATAATATAATATTATAATAAAAATTAAATTCTTTGAAAAAATGATTTAAATACGATAAATTGTTATTTGAATATACACAATGTAAGATTTGTGATAACGTAAAATTAAAAATCAACAATGCTTAAAAGCATATTATTTATATATAAATTCAAATTGGTCACGATGTATTTATAACATTTTATTTTTGCGATCAATTTGTAAGAGTTAAAAATTAGATTTTATTATATTTTTATGCGAGTATTGACTTATACCTTTTGATTATCCATTTAGATCCATTCAAATGTATATTTTTAAATTTTTGATTTTTTCCTATTGGGATAATGGAGTAGGTGACAAAAGTGCATACTCTTAAACAACCGTCGGATTTCCGGGTGAAATCGTGACACACTTTCGTCTTTCGTAGGCAGTGGTGGTTGTTACAAAAGGTAACTTCGAATGTAGCGTGAAATCTGCAAAAAAAATTCTGAAATTTGAATGGAGAACACAAAAATTGAATAGTTTACGTCAATAAAAAAGAGAAAAATGAAGCCAATGTGTCTCGAACCTAGGACGTAGAGCAGCAATCACACTGTTTATCCCATTACACTACATGCATCTCTCACCTCAGTGAATGAGATCAACTATATGATAACTTTTTCCCCATTAGATTCTTGTGGAAAAGTGACAAATAGCAACTTTGACCCTCTCTCTTGGGATAATGTACTTATCATTCAAAAATTATCAAATAATATGGTCGTTTGTTATTTTTGAAAATAGATTATAACTTTAATATCTATATTGTTTCTAAAATTGTTGGATTTGACATGATACCTTATTATTGCAGACGTATTTTCCAGTTTAAAATATAATTCATACATATCAACCTTGATAATATCAACATATCTTTTACTTCTCCATAAATTCCATTTCATTAGGGTTTTGTTTTTATTTTCTACTTGGCTGAAGGGGAGAAGGTATGTGATGGTCCATATACTGTTTCAAGATTGATTAGCCTATGAGTTGAACTCAAATAAACTATTTCTCCGAATTGACATTCGATTATACTAATTATTAACACAAGGCATGTACAACTAGTATCGACAGCTTTTTATTGTTTCTTTTTGTAAAATCAAAGAGGTTTTCATTATGGAGATATTCTTTGAACAATTTTCAAATTTATCTGCGTAATATATAGATTTTGAGGTGTTTACTCGAAATATATATTTAAATTATCAATATAATCGTCAACGTTGCGGATATTCAGATTCAATGAATATATATATAGAAATCAACTAATACTTATACCCCACAAAATGGGGTTAGTATTAATGATTAAAACCAGTAATTAAAGATACATTCTTCAAGATTTTAATTCAAAAAAATATACAGATAGCGGTGATTCCAAGTTTATATTAAATTAATGAGGTTCATCTTAAAATTCATTGGATTCATCAAACAGAACCCTTTAGTAGAATATAATATGAGGCTTAATTGTCAGAATTATTTACTTTCTTCAAAAATCATTTATGATATTGAGGTAATATAAGATATGAACATTTTCAAATGTGAAAAGGTTCGATGGCTATTTTGAAAAATTATTTTTGTGATATCTAGATATTCTCTTATAAAAGAAATAATAAGTTTACTATGCTCACATTTGCTAATCAAATAATAGCATCTATTTAGGAGCCAAATGTTAAAATTATAAATTGATTTGTTAAAGATTGTCATCATGACTCAGAAAATGATCCCTATATTTATTTATATTAAGTAATGCTAAATATAAAGTTTTTATAAACGAATGTAAGAAGCTAGGGAAAGAATTTTTATCGAATATTTCTTTGAAAATTTTGAATTAGTAATTGAAAAGAATTAGCGAGTAAACATACTATATGTTAATCAATATTTAAAATTTCATCACATCGGAGACCGATGGAAAAATATCTTTATGTTTGTTCAGTAGTAAAATTATCTATACAATCTAATATTTATTTTTTTGCGTTATTTAACGTGTAGATGTTATTCGATTATTGTTATAGACCGAAAATAGATTTTTTCGGTTTTCTCTTCAAATAATTGAAAGAATGATACTATTATAGGTTTATTATATTATATAGCATATAATCATGCTATAGCCGAAAATTATAAGTTTTGAGAAGATTGAATATAACACAAATAAATTTGAATGTAAGTTAAATTGCTTGTTGTTTTTAATAGCTATTTAATGAGAAATCCAATATTGCAAAATTCAAATTGAATGATTGAAAGAACAGAAAAAGTCATTCTTTTCAATTTCGAATATGTTTTATTGTATTTATAATTATATGGCAAATAAGATATTTAAACTTGATTTTTGAAGGAAAATTCACAAAATTGAATAAATTCAAATAATTTTTATTCAAAAATAAACTAATTATTTGAGTTTAATACTAATTATCTATTCAAACTACAAAGTTTGTAATTTAAAATATTTTGTGAGATCAGATTGAATTAATTCAAGGTTCTTTTCAATTAATATTAATGACCATATTACGCATTTTCGAACATTCTAAACCAAATATATAAAAATGGGAGACGAATGTTAAATTTGCTAGACATGGGGGAGTTGTCTGCAAAGTTTTAGCTCTTATCTCTAACAAAAAATTAATTTTTAAAAAAATGACCGAATACGTTTCACAGCGAGAAAAAATAAAAGGCAAGATAGAATTTTCTAGACATAAAGAAGTTGTTTACCGAGTTTTAGCTCTTATCTCTAACAAAAAATTAATTTTTAAAAAAATGACCGAATACGTTTCACAGCGAGAAAAAATAAAAGGCAAGATAGAATTTTCTAGACATAAAGAAGTTGTTTACCGAGTTTTAGCTCTTATCTCTAACAAAAAATTAATTTTTAAAAAAATGACCGAATACGTTTCACAGCGAGAAAAAAATAAAACTGTACACTGATTTTCATTTTCATTTCCAGTCACTTTACTTATTATTTTTTTCTTTTTTTTCATTTTAATTATAAATTATTTCATAATACGTTTATTTACGTTACCATTTTCTTTATTCTTTTGAATTCCATACTAGACACTTATAGAATATTTTGATTGTTAACGTACTTCATTAGAATGAATCCTTACAAAGGGTATGTCGATCGAATTTACCTAATTGGTATTTCCAATCAGATTGAAGAAGGTAAAATGACATGGGAAGAAGCTTGTACCCATGTTCCCATCGCCCCAACCCTTCAATCAAATGATTTCAAATATTTAGATGTTTCAAAATCTTTTTTACAAAATCAATTTAGCTTACAGAATATCCCATTGCTTAAAGGCAAGAAAGGTCGTAGGGTCAATCCCTACGACCAAATCAAAGCTCTTGCTGTGATACATGACCACTGGGCCTTTCCCTGTGGTCAAACAAAACACTGGAAACGTAGTTAGTATGGGTTAGTTGGGTATGGTGGCACTGCGCACCTACTTACCCATGATATGTGAATTTGACACTTTACAAAACCATTAACGTATATTTTACAACACAAACGACAACACTAACTTAACCTTAAATATTTACAAAGCCGCCAACCACTTCACCTCACTAACGACTTCGCTAACGAACTCACTAATGAAAAAATAAACGTTCTCATAAATTTTCTTCTATATCTTCATCGTCAATGTTAACTCTATTGTAGTCATACTTGAAGTCATAAAGTTTCTCAAGTTTTGAAATGCATAGTCTTGTTAACTTACCTTCATCATCATAAGTTTTTATAAAACTACCATGACAATCTTTATACACAGTCAATGTATAATCTACTGGTCTAGGATGAAGTGTAAAGAACATCTTATACTCAGGAAGGAAGAATAAATGTTTAAATGTATGTTTGTTATATTTTTCGATTTGTATGAGTTGCTTTTGTTCTGTCATTTATATAAAAATAAAATAAAAAATAAACTTAAAAATTAATGATATCACCACCCTCACACATATGAAAACATAGCACAAAAATAAATTTAGGTGAAGTGGTGAGATCTCACCTCTTTTTTCACCTGTTTTTTCACCCTGTTGAATTCATTGCTTTATAACTCTCTTCCTTTCTCCAACTCTTCTAACTTCTTCTTAAGTTCAGCAATGTTGTCCTCATGAAGTTTAATCTTTCTCAAAATTCCTTCTCTATCTAATGGTTGCTTTATCTTTCTAAACTGAACTCTACCATCCTTCATAGTATGAATGTAAAAACCTTCTGGAATAGTTCCTGATTTAATGTATTCTACCAAAAACTTTTGTTTCATTGCTTCAGTGACTTTATTTGTCATTTCAATCAAATAAAAATTTTAATATTAAATAAAAATAACGTTATTTTTTCAGTAAGGAAACGCAGGAGTTTTACGATTTATTTGAGGAGTAGGTTCTGGTTTAAATGTTGGAGTCGGTTTAGGAGTTGACTTTTGAACAGGAGTTTGTACTTCCATAGGTTCAGGAGTCATTGAAGGTTTTGCTTGTGAAGGCGTTGGTTTTGGCGAAGGTGTTGGAGTTTGTTTAACTTCAGCTACTTCAGTATTATTTACAACATTTGCTTTATTTCTTTTCAACATCATAACTGCTCCTGCTGTAGCTAGCAAACCTAGTGGGAGACCATATCTTATATAAGGACTTGACCAAATGCTATTTTTGACAGGAGCTGGTGGAACACCTAACCTTGGTGAGACTGCTCTTTGCCATTGTGCAGCTCGTAAGAAATATTCAATAGGTGCTCCATAATCGTTTGGTAAAGTTTGTTTCATAGATGGTGAAGGTTCACGAGAGCTTGATGAAGAACTCATTTATAAGCTTTAAAATAAACGTTCATCCTTTATTCCTCACCGTCGTCCGTAGCTAAGTTATAGTCATCTAATCTTATTATGGGGATGCCATTAG